TATGAAATTATATGGTATAAGGTTATAATAATGTATTGTGGAGAAATAAAAATATTGACCGATAAGAGTAATGTATAATAAATAAGAATATTGACTAATTTATTGTTAGAGAAATATAAGGTAAGTTATATGATATAATGTTATTGTACAATATTGTTAGAGAAATATAAGGAAAGATAAAAAAAAATGTTAGTATAATCCATTCAGAACCTTGTTGGTAAAAAGTTTTTTTTTTTTTTTATTCATTCTCTAACTGGCTTATCTCCAAACCATTTATTATCTTAATTATTTGAATATGAAAAAATTTCTGAAGTCATGAGGATGGTTTAGTAGATGGAAATTTGCAAGACATTAATCTAAACTATTAAAGGTGAAGTACAAAAAAAAATAACCCTAAATTTTCCTCAAAAATTACAATAGAATGGCATCTTTTTTTTACTCTTAACCATAAATAATTTTAATAAATGAAATTACAAAATACATAATAAATAATGTTTCCATAAAAAATCGTATATGATACATCAGATTGCCTAATATTTAGCTAACATAAAAGATTAGAATCTTTCATTTCCTAAACAAATATAAAATATAAAAGCAAAAAATCGGTGATAAAGTTATGTTGTAGGATATGTTTACCAAGATATAGATTTTTTATTTTTTTAAAAACCTCATAAATGAGTAATTTGAAACCATTAAAATTCAGATTTTTTTTGTTAACATATAGAAATAACTTATTTGCAAGCTGGTCACAAGATTTAATTTGTTAAAAAATTGTAACAAAAAATAATTTAATACTAGGATAAGACCTGCGCCTTGCGCATGATGAATATATATAATTAAAATATAAAATTTTAATATTGACAAATATAAAATTTACATATGATTGTTTTTATATGTATTTGAAATTTTAGAATTTTAGAATTTTTATATAATTATCTATACGTATGATCAAAAACGATTATAATTAGAACTGTAGATCAAATCTTAGAATTTAATGAATTCAGTTTCATATATCTTTCCAATTTTCAGTGTTAGAGTGATGGAAAATAAACTGAGTGTCATTGGACTTGATTGGTAGAATATTAGCAAGTTTTCTAATATTTTTAAGAAATACTTGGTAAAATATTTGCATTTAAATTATATAAAGTTTCAAAACTAATTTAATATAATTTATTTATTTGTCCAATAATATTAGAAAAAAATATTAGAAAATTATATTTTTACAAATTATTATTTTTAAATAATTTTATATAAAATTAAGTTAATTTTAAATCATATTTAAAAATAATATTTTAAGTTTTTCAAATACAAATAAACAATTTAAAATTAATTATCGTCATGATTTAAAATAACCATAAGGATTTAAAAAATTAAATAATTTAAAAATTAACAAATTAAAAATTAACTCACTTTTATATTATGATTTAACAATTTAAAAATTAATTATGGTTATGAGAGGTTTACGTTCACGTGTCAATCCTATTTATCTTCAATTTTTTTCTCTTGTTGTGTTTTTATATTTTAGTTTTTACTCGATATAAATATTTATTTTGAAACATATTCTTATTTTGTTTGTTTGTTTTGACCTGGATTTAGAAAATACTTAAGATTTAAAATAATTAAAGAGATACATAGTTAGGTCAAGATCTGCACTTTGTGCAGAATAAATATTTTATATTTATTATTTATATTATATTTTTCTGCATATTATAAAATAATAAATATATATATTAAATAACTAAGAAAACAGTTACTGTTATGTAAAAAATTGGTGTATGCATATAAATTTAACTATCACTCTTGTTTATTCGCAATTAGGGTAAATAAATCAAAATAATCAATCTTATATATTGTATATGATATATAATTAAATTTAAATGATATAAACATAGTAATATAGCACACTTTTAACATAGATATTTATTAAATGAGATTTCTACTCATATGATTTTATGATTATTTTCATATTTGTGTAACAAAATTTTATATCAATGAATTTTTTTAATGTGAGATGTTTAGTAGTTTCAATAATTTATAATCATTTTAAAAAAACAATGACATATTTCAAAATTAAATATTAACTTTTCAATATATGTTCAAGGTAACTATCAAATATAAGTATGTATTTTCATACGATGTATAGTTTAATTAAAACGATAGGAAATATATATAAACTAAAATTATTTCTTCATATGGTCTTATAATCATTATATTTTAATATAGAAAAAAAAATTAAAACCTTGATCCTAAAAGTTTATGTGAGATTTTTAACAGTTTTAGTAATTTATACTCATTTTGAAAAATTCGAAATACAACATACACAAAAAAAAATCTAGATTTTTATTATATGATTAATATAATTGTGTAATTTATTTTAATAATAAAGAAATAAGCAAAATGAGAAAAAAGTATACAGATTGTTATCAAATCTTTATTGTTTAAAATCATTAATTGTCATATATATTTTAATCACATTAGGTAATTCTGTATGTTTTATTTAAGGAAAGCATGCGAAACAATAAATACTTGATATATGTAACCAACTATAGCCTACGAAATATTATATTGCTAGAGAGTATAAATTTTAAACTATACATTATATCACATGCTCTAGAATCCTTGGGATTTGAAATAGAAGCCAAAGAACTATGCCACATAGGATTGAGGTTATTTTTAATTTTTACAAACTTAAGGTTACAATTTTTTAAATGATTCTCTTTTAATATATAGGGGATATTAATAATACATTTCATTCATACAATAAAACATGGAAATTTTGAATTATAATTTTAACCAGACACAATATACTTATTAATCGATATAATCTTTTTTAATAATTACATTACTGATCCTAGACACATTCAATTAGAAAAATACAGAAGTACATCCAATACTGTGATACATGGGCTCAACAATAAAATAAAATAGTGCAAATATAATTAGGGGTGTTCAGTCCGGTAAAACTGAACCAGAATAAAGAAAATAGTTTGGATTTGGGTAGTACCTATTAAACATAATGAATATTATTTTTCAGAAACCGCAGTATATGCATATGGTTTAGTATGTAAACCAATCTAACCGAAGAAACCAATTAGTTAAAAAAATTAGTATACGCATATGTAAATTTAATAATATATATACATAATCTATTTTATTAATATAATATTCATAATCAAAACATTGATTATAGTATTTTTTATGTGTTTTGAAGTTAAAATGGTAATTTAGTTTTTCTCATTTTCGTCAAATTAAATAAAACAGATTTTTTTATTTTTATTGATAAGTCCTTATGCTAAAATATAATTATATAATAATATTATGATATTATTATTTTCTTACTATTTTAATATTTAAATAAAACATAAAATGTTATATTAATACTTAAACTAAGGAATATATATATATATATATATGTTTTAATAAATTTGATTTCTATTTATATAATATAAGATTTGTTATAAAAATAAATATAGTTATGGTTTTTTGTATAGACCGAATAAATCAAAAATCGATGTATATAAACCAAACCAAATCAAATTAGATATTGTTCCGATATGGTAACTAATTTTCAAAAACGGAAATACCAAAAAACCAAAAACATCAAATCGAAACCGTACCAAAGTCCAGATTGAACATGTTCTAATGTTCTCCAAATTATTGTGTGTTTGGAATGTTCATATTGATATTGTAAAATAAATATCCGTGTGGGCGCGCGGATCAAAATTTAGTTATGATTAAATCAGTTGTTAATTTGGCGATGGAGTTAATTGAGATAGATGTGAACTTAAGTAGCATGGAGATGTTACAAAATCATTATCTTTGTGGTCATGATTTAATTTTCTAGTCTAAGTTAGAGTCTGGAAGCATGTGTTATACGACTTCTATTCAAATATGACTCCTTTCCAAGGTTGGCCCTGACCCCAACAACCCAAAATTTTTTTTTATAGACACATAGCTTTAGACTAATGGAGTAGTAATTAATTTACTTTATAAAAAATAAAACATGTCTTGGTCGTGGCATGAATAAAAAACATGTCTCATGTAAGTAAAATAATAAATAATTAGATGGTGATGAAGGTGAAAGTGACGTGGTGACTAGTAGACATGATTATCTTACGGCGATCCACCGTATGCTGTTTCCTCCCGTGATTCGATTTTGCTTTTTATAATAATTCTCCAAATCTCACGCTCCCCTTTATAAATACACCATCTCTATTATTATTACATCTCTCTCTCTTCTCTCTTTGTCAAAGTTAGCTTCTCTGCAAACCAACTTCAACGCATAAACGAAGAACAAAGACTCAAAAGAAAAAAAAAAGATAAGAGAGGCTTCCCTATTCTCTCGGTACCTTCTTTCATCTCTATCCTTTTCTTTACCGCCATTTTCGTTTTTCTTTATATAAATGTCTTTAGCCATTTTGGATTTTTAAGTTTCTTCTTTAGAAATGAATCACTAGCTTCAGGTTTCTGCAGTTTTTGTATTGATTGTTACATTTTTTTGTTCTTGTAACCATCGATCTTGAGATCTTGTTTTTGTATTGATTGTTAGATATTATTTATTTTAAAGTCTCTACTCTCAACATAATAATATATATTCCTTTTTCAAGAAATTAATTGATATCCATTCATATTGCTTTTCCTTTTCTTGGTTTCGTGTGGTTACCTAATGCTACTTAGTCTTTTTTGGAGCATCATATCTTTTTTTTTTGTTTGATGTTGATTATTCTGATTGCGATCTTATTGGTTCTTGACTACCTTCAAGATTTGACTTATCTGAAAAAAATAATAATAATTGCAGAAGATTCGAAAATTTAAAGAATGGATGTCGCGGGTGGCTAAATCTCCTTTACTAGTATCCCCTTTAATGGTATGTCTTCTTTTTTGTAACTCTCTATGTTTTAGGAACCTGTTGTTGACATGTCTTTTAATCTTTGTTTTGGTTTTCAGATACAGAGATGTGTCTGACAAGAAACAACATTAATTATACTAACATCTCTAGAAACGTAGCCATTGGTATGGAATATGAAGCTGGACATCATCATCATTCATCGTTGGTCACTTCAATAGTCTTCTTCTCATCCAATTTGTTTATTCCTTTGTCTTTGAAAATCCCTATACGTGACGGATTTCACGAGATTCTTCAGTAACATTTTCATACACCAAACCTTCACTTTAGATAGAAATTTATATTCAAGATTAGTTCAAAACATGGAGGCTCTTGTAAGTGGGAAGAAAAGGATTATAAATCTTGATTCACGGCTCTTGTCTGAGCCTTTGATCCCTGGATTGTCTGATGACGTGGCAAAACTCTGTCTGGCGCTTGTTCCGCGTGCTAGCTTACCTTCAATGGGACGTGTCTGTAAGAAATGGAGGTATGTCGTTCAGAGCAGAGAGTTTATTACTGTGAGAAAGCTCGCTGGTATTCTTCAGGAGTGGCTTTATGTCTTAACTATGGATGCTGGAGGGAAAGAGAGCCACTGGGAGGTGATGAACTGTCTAGGACACAAGCTCTCATCTCTTCCACCGATGCCTGGTCCTGTTAAGACAGGGTTTAAGGTTGTTGTGGTTGATGGGAAGCTTCTTGTTATTGCTGGTTGTGCTATGATCAATGGTTCTCATGTTGCTTCTTCTGATGTTTATCAGTTTGATACTTGCCTCAACAGGTTTGTTAGCTATTTATGATTAGTCCTTTGTGAACTTTGATCCAATGATTTAATACGTTTTAATCCACAGCTGGAGTAGACTAGCTGATCTGAAGGAGGCGCGCTATGACTTTGCTTGCGCTGAGGTGAATGGACTTGTTTATGTGGTGGGAGGTCACGGTGGAGATGGTGAGAGTCTGTCTAGTGCTGAGGTTTACGATCCAGAGACGGGGGTTTGGAGTTTCATAGAGTCTCTGAGGCGTCCTAGATGGGGATGTTTCGCTAGCGGCTTCAACGGGAAGCTCTACGTGATGGGTGGGAGATCAAACTTCACTATTGGTAACTCAAAACTTGTTGATGTCTACAGCCCTAAGTGTGGCTCCTGGTGTGGCAGCAAAAATGGTGTAACTGTAAGTGTTTTGAATCAGATGATACTCATGATAGTATATGTTTCTTTAGCTTGGCTTTTTAAGTATAGAGGCCATGGTTCTAAAAATCGGTATAGACGGTGCATAGATTCAGTTTAGGTGGCAAATATGTCATAACCAAAACAATTTTTATAATATCTGATTATACAAATGAAGTATTTCTATATTGGTTTAAACCGTAATCAATGTAAATTAGTTTAAGTCTATTAAATTAAGTAGTGATGTTAGTATAAATTACAAATTTGTCTAATTTGTTTTTGTTTTATATATCTAATTTTGATAATTCATCAAAATAGTTTTATAATTAAGGAAATGACAATTCTCTCAGTCATTTTCAAATTTTTGACCGAAATAGTCCATTTTTATTTTGAAATTTGTAATATACTTAAAAAAAAAAAATTGAAATCCTAAATGTCTGACATATTTAGTTAACACAAAGATATAAGTGCATATTTACCCTTTAGTAAAAATTTATTTGGGTCTTTTTTTTCATTGAGGACTATTTTTGCGAAAATAAACTAAAAAGTTATCCAAAGGAATTTATCTTATAGAAAACTAAAAATGTTATATAAATGTAAATATGTATAAAATAAATTAAAAATTGTTAATGTCCCATATAATCCGCTTAGTAGCTGGTTTTAGTTATGGCCTAAGGATTTCTTGAACATTGATAGAAACCATCTCTAACATTTGAGTGCTCTTGATACAATTGCAGATGGTCACAGCTCATGCTGAAGTAGGAAAAAAGCTATTCTGTATCGAATGGAAGAACCAGAGGAAGATGTCTGTATTCAATGCAGAAGACGATACTTGGGAAGTTGTGGCTCTACCGCTTTCAGGAAGCTCGAGAGCCGGGTTTCAGTTTGGTAAGCTGAGTGGGAAGCTTCTGCTTTTTCCGTCTCAAGAAGAGACTGGTCACAACACTTTGCTGTATGACCCGGATGCTACACCAGGAAGGCAGTGGAAAACATCTGAGATAAAACTGTCTGGTTCCTGTGTCTGCAGCGTTACAATCATAGCCTGATTGATGATGATATTATTGATACCATTGTTGTTACATTTTATCCATGATCCAAACTCAAAAGAGAATATTGAGTTAATCACTGATCTTAGATACAGTTTGAATAAAGTGGTGTGTGTGTCTGTGTATGCATGTGTGTTTTGATTGATACAGTTTGTTCCTTGTAACATATATGTTTTGAAGTTTTTTTTTTTGATGCAATGTGCGTTTGATTTGTGAAGGCTATTTCTTCAAGACGATAGTTATTTATGTGTGTTCTTAAAACGATGTTAGAGGCAAACAGTATATTGTCTTTTGCTTTTGATTCATGCATTGTGCTTTTCCTTTCTCTAGAGACGTGTAGTGTGCTTGTAAGAGATGGCAACTGAGTATGATCTGAAAATACAGGAAACGTCACACAATGTATTTCAAAAATCTTAACAGGCTGAGAAAAAAAGCTCCCACTATCATATAAACAAAAATACACAACAAGAAACAAAGAACAACATATTCAATAAAAACCATATACAAGTTTGATTCTAACATGTAAAATGCGATACACGTCAAGTACTACACCTTGTGCATTTGCAAAATTAACTGAATCCAGATGCTCAAAGTGGAGACTATTTGTTATGAAGAAGGAGAGAGAGAGAGAGGGGGACTGTATATATCTCTAAACTTGTCATTTTCCCACATCGGTTACTTGACTCAAAATTGTGTTGTTTATATAAGTCTTCCATCAACAGACTGTACGTCGAGCTCAGTAACAAGGGTTTGTGACCCATGTGGGGACAATAAGATGGTGGAACACTGGCCCGGCCCACCGGTCGGTTCTGTTGTGGCATCTTCTGGACCGCCCGGTCCAAGCCGAGAGTGAACCGTGTGTGTTGGGCGAAGGCTTGATTCAGGCGGTTCCTAAAGAGGGGAGGGCAATGCGTGAGGCTGGTTTCACAGAGCAGCGATCACCTCCCTCTCTCGGCAGTGGATGGATAACGGATCAAAGCCACTCAGATCCACATGGCTAGTGGCTCGCACCCAGCTGAACCACCATTTTTTAAAAAATATTTATACTTTTCCTTTCTTGTCAATAGAAACTCCACCAAAGCTTTTTTTTTTTTTTTTTTTTGAATGAATATTAAATTTA